GGGGGGGGGGGGGGGGGGGGGGGGGGGTGTTGGAGGGCGGTGAGTGGGTGGCCTTCTGTGCAAATAAATTGCAAATGTTCGGGCAAAAGTTGCACTCTTTCAAATAAAAGTCCAAAAATAATTTCGTCCATCTCTCTATTTTCAAATTTCATTTGTGTGTGTCATCCTGTAGTGTGCAAGGGCCATACTACTAAGAATGCTTTTTTTTTTCTGTTTTCCGTATCCTTTCACTTTTAACTTTTTGATTTTTTTTTTTGAGCCACCACTACGTCTCCCTGCTAAATTGATTTGCCTGAGCTGTATGCGCGGCGCAATCTTGTCGGGGCTCGTCTCTGCTTCTGGCGCGCAGCACAGTTCGGTTCGGTTCGGGAAAAAGAGCTGCAGACACAATTGCGATCAGATTCATGCACAGATTTATAACCGTTTCTGCTTCTGGAGCGCACTGTGCGGGCAATTGCGCACGTGCGGAGGACTGGCAAGTAAGGCGCACGAGCTCGTGAACAAAGAAAAAAAAAAGGGAAAAGAACAAGCGAGGAAAGGAATGTCGCCACCTAACGGTCAAGACTGATGCCCGGGCCAGAGACCTATCTGAGGCTATTTCCGATCGAGCCTAAGGCTATTTCTGATGCTCAACAGGATCTGATCCAAAGGTATTACACCCTTCAGCATCTATGAAAACAGCAAAAAAAAAAAGAAAAAAAAAAAAAAAAAGAAGAAAAAAAGAACAAACAGAAATTGTTGCTGACAGCTGTTCTGCTCGCTGCTGTGAACAACCTGCAGCAGATCATTCGTCCGTGTGGCGATCCAGAGGCATGCCACGTGGAATTAACGGAATTAATGCAATTAACAGTGCATCCATACGAGGAGACTGCCGACGTTGCATGGTGCTCTTTGCGTTTGCTTTGGTCACTATCGGAGTGGTGCTCGTTCATCGCTCGATGGCGCGCGTCATGCCAGCGACACATTCCACACTCGGTGCTTCCCGTAGTTCATCACAAAGCAACGAAGATCATCAGCCTCAGGTTATTCAGCATGCTGCCACCTTCAGTTCGAATGGCGATGACGACGGCTCCCTTTTTGTGCAGACGGAGCCTGACGACGGTTCCCTTCTGCCAACGGAACCTGACAGCCGCAGTGGTTCCCTTGTGCAAACGGAGGCTGACGTGGTGAAAACGGAGGCTGACGGCCGTGGTGGTTCCCTTGTGCGAACGGAGGCTGACGGCCGCGGTGGCTCCCTTGTGCAATCGGAGTCTTACCGTGGTTCCCTGGTGCAAACGGAGCCTGGCGGGGGTGGTTCCCTTGTGCGAACAGATCCCGACGGTAGTGGTTCCCTTGTGCAAATGGAGCCCAACGGGGGCTCCTTGGTGAAAACGGCCGCTGACCGCACCGGTTCCCTTTTGCGACCAGAGTCTGTCGCTGGTTCCCTTGTGAAAACACAGTTTGATGTCGGTTCCCTGGTTAAAACAGAGCCTGATGGCGGCGGTGGGGTCCTTGTGCAAGCGGAGACTAACGGCATTTCAATTCTGCAAACACAGCCTGATGGGCTTGGATCCCTTGCGCAAACCGAGAGGGGTGCCACCTCAAGTTGGCCGCTTTCATCGGAGGAGGCTTCTTCGTACAGTGGACACGGGTCTGATCTGCAGTGGCTTCAGGGTAAGTAAAAATTATCCCTCAAGTTGTTTGGCTTCTGCTTAGTTGTGTAGATTACCCCCAACGAACCTCGCTTATCTTACTAGTAAGCTTGAAGGACGTGTAGAGAAATGGGGGGAAAACCCAAAAGGTACCACGTAGGTGGCTCTGACAATCAGTTTGACGTCGTGAGGTTGCTGATGGTGGTGGTCCATCTGCTGCCAATCTTAGACCACCAATGACTAACTCTTCCCAGTATTGGCCTGGTTACCACGACACCCGCACTTTTCAGTTGGCTCATCGTTGGATTAATGATCAGATGGCCACAGTAGCAGGTGTGTGTGTGTGTGTGTGTGTGTGTGTGTGTGTGTGTGTCCACAGGTTTCGTGCCCTTAGTTTGACCACGAGGCTCGGGGCCTTGGTTTGACCACAGGGTTTGGGTCCCTAGATTGACCACAGGGTTCAGGTCCTTTGCTTGACGATGGGAAGTTGTTAAGACCATTCTGTTTTACTGGAATTGCCTGTATTCCTGCCTCCTCCTCCCCACACCCATTCTGCATGAGGGTCAAATTTGAAGTTCAAACCCTTGGGAAAAAGAAAAGAGGTTCAAACCCTAAACCGGTCTAAACCTGGCTGTATTGTTAAGTGGAGAAGTCTTTGCTGGCTCGGAGTCTCAGACCTGGCGCTCTGACTTTGCTTTTGCATACGCAGAATGAGTTTGCAAAAAGGAAACTCCTCTCCTCTCCTCTCCTCTCCTCTCCTCTCCTCTCGATCTGAGTTTGTTATCCAGATAATCCGGTAATGATGTTTGTTGCATTGCTGCTCAGATGACACGGGTGATGAGACATATGTGTGGTTTTGTTTTTTGTTAATTAAATTAATGGAATGGGTTTAGTGGTGGACTGTTGACTTCCATTTCCATGTCGAAGAATATTCAATTTTTTGCCAGAGTAAAAACTTGCTACGACGTCTGACGACTCTCATCTTCTAGTATGCAGAGCTACGTGCTCATTTCCCACACTTGGGTATGAAGTACTATGAGCCCTAAACCCTAAACCCTAAACCCGAGACCTAACCGAGCAATGGAAATAAATTGAATATAAGGGTGTTGGCGCTATGTCGTTTCTCACTACTGATGATGATGACCCGTACGCTTGCTGCGAGAGTCAGTTCTAAGTTCTTCTGGCACTGTTTCGTGAAATATTGAAGCGCCGTGCCGCCCCCCCGCCTACCCCTCCCCGCCCTCTCAAAACCCCATTCGCTTGCTGTCTGTGAGGAATTTTCCGGGGCTGATTTTTGGTTGTGTCTTTCCGGTCTGCTCTGCATCACGAATTGAAGATTTGCTGACAAACAAACCTGGATTACATCTCTGAGCTACCGTCTTCACCTGAATAGAACGCCCAGTCATTGTAGCCGTTTTTGGTGCAATTTTCAGTCTACATACAGCGATAATGACCGGGCGTTCTATTCAGGTGAAGACGATAGTCAACTTTGGGCTCTATTTTTTCTGACCCATAATGATTTTGGGGTTCCTTTTTTTTTTTTTTTTTTGCGATGGATGAACGATTACTGTGATCACAGAGCACGTAGCCTTCGAGAATGCCAGGGCCGTCAAGCAACTAGAGCATGGAAGTGAAGGTGGAAGTGGAAGGGGAAGTGGAAGGGGAAGTGGAAGTAGAATGCCAGACCCTCCTCTCAACCTGGCAAAGCCAAGTGGCAGGTACGACAACTATCCGCCAGAAAGCGCTGACGAGAAACTGCAAGGGCTGCCAGTGGCTATTTTCTCCCAGATGAGTTTGGAATCTTCAGGATCTGTACAGTCTTCAGATACCTCGCAACGACAAGGTGAGGGTCCTGAGGAGGAGACCATGATGCAGCAGCAGCATACTGTCCACTTGCCCGCCCTCGATCCATCACCTACAAGCACCTCAGGGGGCGCTGCGACTTTGGGGATGAAGCATCCCTCCGAGTCGATCTCCGAGTCTTCGCAGTCATCAGATAATTCAGAGTTTTCAGAACCTTCAGACGATTCACGGCAACGAGGAGGTAATTCTCCAGTCAAATTGCCGTCAGACGATCGCAGCAGACGCGTGGCGATGGCAGCCAGAAGCCACCGCACCAGCATGCCAAATCTGCGGCCGCAGGGATCGCAATCTTCCACTGCATTGCCTGTTTTTCCCTGGGAAATCGAGGGTGAGACAGCGGGGCGGGCAATGCATCATGGCAACGATGCGGGCTCCAGTTGGCCAAATCTGTCGTCTCAGGGATCAAAAGCTTCCCCTTTATCACTTGATCTTCTTCGGGAAATCGACAGTGAGATATTGAGGAGGACGATACTCCGTGGGAATGCAGCAGAGTCTCTTCCTGGCATACGGGAGACGACTCGGAGTCATGAGCGTTCATTTCTCTCTAGTGAAGGGGAGGGGGCTGTCATCATGGCCCGAGGTGGGGGTAAGAAGAGACCGCCTATCGCAACAACTACCACCGGCCGTTTGTCCAACACCGTCGACTTCTCCGTGAATGCTTCTGATGTGGACAAGACAGATCTTCTTCGCAAGTCCATAGACGGAAAGGTGGCCGAACTTCTCAAGGCCTCGGTCAAGTTTGTGAAGAAGCAATGGTTCCTCAAGTCTAACGTTGACTCTATCAATTCCCATCATGGAGCTCCTGGAGCTGGAACTGGTCCGAGTACCGACAGTGCCGTGGCACAAAGATCGACTACAATGACGGTTCGGCCAGAACATGCATCCGATGGTGGCAATTCCGGTGAAGCACGGCAACATGCATCCGACGGCGGTCCCGATCAAGCGTCGCGACATGCATCCGACGACGGTCCCGATCAAATGTCAGGACATGCATCCGACGACGGGCCCGATCAAGAGCTGGGAGATCCCCGTCCCAGTGGTTACTTGGACGGTCGAAGCCATCAAAGTAGTAGACCACGTTTCACGTGCGATTTGACCGAAGGAGTATGGGTCAAAGAGAGGGAGAGTTCAAGGTCTTACTCCGTATATCATCCAGATAAATGTCCCTTCGTCTCGCCCAGTCAGAATTGTCGGGCCTTGGGGCGAAGAGATCGCGAGTACGAGATGTGGCGCTTTGAGCCAAAGAGTTGCGACCCTGATCTGTCAATGCAGTTGCGCACTGGGTATAGTAGAGATAACAGCAACAGCCTTGTCGAGTCGCTGGCAGGAAAAAGGCTTGCAGTTGTGGGGGACTCTATACTGAGAAACCTGTTTGAATCTCTGGCATGCCTCCTCCATCACAGACAGGGACTGCCAGAAACTATCATCTCTCGAAGTAAGGTGAAAAAGTACGTTTGGCCAGAACACAACCTAACCATCGCGTTCTATCGAACACCATTCCTTATAGAGGACAGACAGGCGGCTGTGTCAGATACGGAAGAGGACAGATGGAAAAAAGTTATTGTGGAGTTGAAATCTGTGAGCAGCACGTGGAGAAGTGACGTAAGCTCATACGATGTCCTCGTCATCAATTCAGGTAAGCGCCAGCTTCCGACCCTTGAGACATCTGGAACTTTTTCTTTTTCACTTTTTTTTTCTTTTTTCTTTTTTCTTTTTTTGGATGTAAATTATCATGTAATCACTACTGCTCCACAGCCATTAGAGAGAAAGGAAAAAAGCAGGATTGCAACTTATACTACCGTTATGCAGTGACATAAATGATTGCCGTATAGAGTACTTTCAACTTGTATACGTATTATAATATAATTAATAAATTTAATATTATTGTAATGTATTAATATCATGGTAACCCCGGACCCGGACACCGGACACTTCCGGACTGTCTTCCGGACCAGTGTCTGGACCGGTCGGTACTGTCCGGTGATCCGGACATCACCGGGTGGGGGTTGGGTGGGGGTGTTGGAAGACACTTACCTGCTTCGCACTCTGTAGTTCAGGCAGTAGAGCACATGTCTTGCAGCAAATCAAGTTTAATCAACCAGCACATTTAACTAGCAGACATGCAGAGTTGCAAACAGTGCAAAGCAAGCACAAGACTAGAGAAACAGAGATTTTTGTTATGAAAAAAGTATGCTTAACTTTGAACTTTGAACTTTGGATTTAGTAGTTTAAGTTCATAACTTCATATATAACTTAAAAGTGCGAACTTTGCAGTTCAATTCAGAATGTCAGAGTCTTCAGACTGGCAGCACTGTCAGTGCTCTCTCTCTCTCTCTCTCTCTCTCTCTCTCTCTCTCTCTCTCTCNTCTCTCTCTCTCTCTCTCTCTCTCTCTCTCTCTCTCTCTCTCTCTCTCTCTCTCTCTCTCTGTGTGTTTGTGTGTGTGCGTGTGTTTGTGTGTGTGTGTGTGTGTGTGTGTGTGTGTGTGTGTGTGTGTGTGTGTGTGTGTGTCTCATTTTTAAAAAAGAAACTCAGGTGATTTTAGCCAGCATAAGAATATTTCTCGTAGTTGCCAAAGAACAGAAAAGAGCTGATACTTATGGAATCTCAATCTCAAGCCCATGGATGATAAGGGATGATGAGGGTGATGATGGATGGCAGATGGATGGCGGATGGATGATGATGGATGATGATAAATCGTATGATGGCTGTTGATGATGAGGATGATGTTGATGATGATGATGATGATGAGGATGTTATCTTCTTGCAGGCCATTGGTGGAACTCTTATAAGCTGGACATGAAGGGAGTGAGTGTTACACTGAATGGTAAAGAGATGCTTGATGTTGATGTGTATGAAGCCTTCTCGATTGCCATGGAGCATGTAATGCTCTGGCTTGCTGACACAGAGAGGAACGGTGGGTTCGCCGGCGATGTGATCGTACCACTCTCTTCCCCCCAGCATTTCCAAAAAGGTGATTGGAACACTGGAGGTGTGTGCCCAAACGTCTGGCCGTTGAACGAAGAAGAGCTCAAGGAGCATCGGGAGAGAAGGTCGTGGATCGACGATAAATTCAACGCGGCACTGATCGCTGCCGCCAGAAGTGCGAACGAGTTAGCTTTCCGGCGAGGAAGGAATGCCGTGGGCAATAAGTTTCGAGTTCTTCCACTCACGCGTCTGAGCGAAGCACGGGCAGATGCCCACCCTGCGTCCTATGTTCATCCCCAGGGCAAGGTCAGTGACTGTTCGCACTGGTGTTTGCCGGGAGTGCCAGACGTCTGGAACGCGGTGCTGCAGTTGATGCTCACTGACGCCGGGAAATTTGTTGGAATGGTGGATAACAACAGGGACTACTACCCTGACGATTCTCTGTACGCCACACGCCACTAATTTTTTTATTTATATTTTTTTTTAACCCAACGGACTCAATTAGGATCGTCGTCATAGATTCTCATAATGTACTTTATTAGAAGTTCCCTAGTTTAATTTATTTATTTTAATTCATTTTAATTTATTTTAATTAATTTAATTTATTTTAATGTATTTTAGTTTCTTTTTATGTATTTTAGTTTAATTTATTTTAATTTATTTTAATTTATTTTAATTTATTTTAATTTATTTTAATTTATTTTAATTTATTTAATATTTATTGTTTGTTGTAGTTAAAGATGCACACCCCTTGGTCTTAGCCCGACGGGAGCGCCTTTAAGATGAGTGCAAAGAGTGCAACTGTGGTGACAGTGGGCTGGCTCCATGAAGTGCATGGCCTGCCCTTTTTTTCACCTGCCGAAGCTTCCCGGAAGCTTCTTGCTTGTTGGTCACACAGATGAGATGATTAGCGCACGCCTCAACAAAAAAAAGACTTAGTGCGTATTTGTGTTTCTGTCACTCTGTGCACAAATAGTAAAAATTGTACAATAGTAAAAATAGTAAAATACACTTCGATTTCCTCGTAAATTCTCAGCGAATTAGATCAGATGACACCGGTATTTTAATATATAATATTATATATGCTGGCTTGTGATGGGGTGTGAACCGACAGTCTGTAGAGTTTTCCATCTGGTGTGGGTGAGTGATAGTCTACTTTGATTTTGGTTAAGGTGGATTATCACTTACAGTGTAATCAGTGAGGGGATTCTACAGACTGTTG